CCCCCCCCCCCCCCCCCCCCCCCCGGGATGCTATTCCCGGTGATATCATGCGCAGGATATGTCCGCTCTACTCGCAAAGCACAGCAAAAGAGCCGTACTCTGCAGACGTCTCTCCAAGTCCGGGGGGATATAACGACGTACAGCCCATCTGGACTAAGCCTGAGATCTCCTGTCACAGTTATAGAGACCAGCCAAAAGAAGAAAATGATAGTTATTTAGTTAGCCAACTGACCAGCCATGGTGGTTCCTTTGAACAACATATTGCGTGACCAACCCTAACTCTGGCAACAGCTTGTATATACCTAGATGAACTCAGCTTCAGAGTGGAGCAGAATGAAATATGGTTTCAAAGCGAAAAGCGGAACCTAGTCCGAGTCCCGCTAACTTTAGGCTTGCACGGGAGAAGCAGAGTCTAGATTGAGAATTCTCCGCGAATCGCAATTTCTTACACCCCTTCTTTTTCTTTTTTCTTTGGGGGTGTGTTGGCTCTGGTGGGACAGGTTACACTCTGTAATTAGTTCATGCGATGGTGATCATTCAGGGCAAAACCGCAACCGCTGCGCGAAACCCTGGTCGAGACAGTGACGGCGTGAGATTTCGCGTGGGAACCGTTTGGAGGAACGCCCGAACATGCGTCTCAGCCGCTGTAACTAGTTGACTACTTGGGAGAACTCTCGGGAGCTTCTTCGGAGCGATTGTAGATACACAAGTTACCTACCTGTAGAGCACGTCAATGTCAGCAGTGGAATGAATGGGCTCTCGCTGGTCGAGGCAGTTCAGTTGTTTCTAGTTTGGCAGGTTTCCAGTATTAAATAACACGTTCAAAGTCTGGCTTCCCCTACGTCGAACCAAGGCGACGCAATGGCTTTCGGACAGGCCGAGCAGTGCCTAAGCAGCCTGTTGCGGGCTGGCATAGAGGGCCCAAAAGTGATGCAGAGAGTAAGAATGCACCCCCGTTGCTGCGGCCGTTCCGCGATGGCTGACAGGGGCCATGGTTGTTCATCCTCGTCCTCTTTCGCTCTGTGGGGTGGTGAGGGGTTTAAAACTCGGTAGCTGGAGCTTTGGTTCGAGAGATCTTTGGTTCAAGAGATCTTGATTCCAGAGTGCGGGGTTAGGTTAAGGTACTGGGTGGGTTAAAGGGCACACCCGGAAGCTTAGGATCGAAGCTTGGGGATCAGCCGTTAGTGGAAATCGACTCCGCCACCGAAGAGAAGAGGAAGAGAAGAGAATCCATTAAACCTCCCTGCTGCTATGTATGCTATTCTCTGATATCCAGCATTTCAAGCGCCGTAGTGAGGTGAATTGGCTTGCTTCCCGGTTTCTTCAGAGCTTGTTCTCGTACAGTAGTTACATACATCCATCTACTATCTATCTCCTCTCCATTCCTATATCCAATTGATTCCCTGCCAGGATCCGACTGCGTATTAATCACCTCCCCCCCCCCCCTCCCCCCCCCCCCCCCCGGTTTTTTTTGTAATTTCTCGACCCTGCCTGAAGCTGGTTACGATATCTGTTTTTGCATTCTCCCTCATATCCCTTGTTCGTTGTTCGGATTCCACCCTGAGCGGTTGTCCGCCAGCCAGCTCGACATAAAGCAGACCACGGATACGCCCCACCGGGAACCCGGGGGAGAGAGACGGCAGACTCCTCGCCTGGCGCCATGCGGGGGTGCCGCCCTCTGCACGCTGGGCACAGCGCTGCTCTCCACCGTCAACGCTCTCCAGTTCATTGCGAGAGACTCGCCACGCGTTGTTGGTCTTGATACTCAGCGGAGGCATGTCTCCAACCCCATTGAAAGGGACCGCTTTAGGAGAAGACAGCTCAACGTCATTGCTGAGCTTCTAGACAATGAGGTGGAGTAGATACTATCTAGAATGATTCTCTTATCATTTATTCGTCCCCTCACTAACTGAGATATATTATAGAGTCAGGGCACCCTCTACTTCTGCAATGTCTCGCTGGGAACACCCCCGCAGAGAATCCGCTTGCACATCGACACCGGCAGCAGCGATCTCTGGTGCAATGTGCCACATTCGAGTCTCTGCTCCCAGGCAGATAAGCCCTGCGCCAGCGCCGGAACCTACGACTCATCTGCCTCTTCTACCTACAGGTTCGTCAGTCCGCATTTCAACATAACGTACGTCGATGGGTCCGGGGCAAACGGCAATTATGTGACGGATACGTTGCAGTTGACCGGCGCCACTCTAGAGGCCTTCCAGTTTGGAGTGGGAAATATTACTTCTTCGAACGGTGCGTATTCCCCCCTAATTCCGACCTCTGGAGGGAAGGCGTGAGAGGGCGTGGTGGAATCGCCCATTCGATCCACACAACGAGATGGAAAAGACAAATAAACTAACCAATCGCCAGAGGGGGTACTGGGTATCGGATACCCGGTGAACGAAGTCCAGGTGGCAATGGACGGCAAAGACCCCTATCCAAATCTTCCCGCCGCTCTTGTCCAAGCCGGCGTCATAAACTCCAACGCGTACAGCCTGTGGCTCAATGACCTCGATGCAAACACCGGAAACATTCTCTTCGGGGGGGTCAACGCCGCAAAAGTCGATGGAAAGCTGCACACCCTCCCGATCATCCCAACTCTCGAGAACCTACACACCGAGTTTGTCATCGCTCTGACAGGCATGGCCATTAACATCGGGAAGGGCAGCAGGAAGATCGGCTCCAGAACCTTTCCGATCGCCGCCCTCCTCGATTCCGGCAGCAGCCTTACCTACCTGCCCGATTCCATCACGTCGGAAATCTACCCCAAGGTCCGCGCCATCTACAGCGCGGACATGGGCGCCGCCTTCATCCCCTGCTCTATGAGGGCAAGTACAGGATCTATATCCTTCAGCTTCTCCGGCACCACCATCAACGTCAACATGAGCGAGCTAGTCCTCAGTCTCGACCCTAAGTTCGACGGGATCCCCACAGAGCCCTCCACCGGCATCCCAACCTGTATCTTCGGCATCTCCCCCGCCGGCAGCGATACCACCGCTATCCTTGGCGACACGTTCCTGCGCAGCGCCTACGTCGTCTACGACCTGGACAACAACGAGATCTCGCTCGGCAAGACCAACTTCAGTCCCACCGATAGCAGGATTCTGGAGATCGGGAAGGGGCCCGATTCCGTTCCTGAGGCGACGAAGGTGCCCAATCCGATCGCCACTGTGGATTTCACCGGGTCGGGGGGCGGGCGGATCAATGGGCCGATGACGTCGTCTGCGTTTGCGGCGCCGACGGCCATGCCGGATTTGAGCGTCAAGGCGTTGGCGGCATTGGCGGCGTTGGCAGCGGCTAGTGTTGCGTTCACGGCGATGTAGTGAAACTAGCTCTTTTTTGTTGTTGCATCATCCTGTTTGGCGTTTCGGATATATTCTTCTGTTCGGAGGTGCGTGCTCTGGAGCGCTGCATGCCTGCATTTTGATTATATCGCATAACTGTACAGTTCGCATATTTGCGCGGATAAAAGTTGGATGGGAAAAAAAAAAAAAAAAAAAAAAAACCGGTGTGGGAAAAGGGTGGGATCGCATTTATTCATATTTTTCTTCTTTCTCCTACTCCACGGCGTTTCTTTCATGTTCGGGTACAGAAAAAGGGGGTAGGTCTCTTTATTAAAACCTTTCAAACTATGCCAGACGGATGAACAATGGATGAGGCGCAGATAGCCACTCCAGCAACAGAATGATTCATCAGGGGCAGGGCTGGGCTCGGAGAGACCTTTTCTAGGGGTAGTTCTCCCTTTCAAGGTCTTTCAGTCCCCGTTGACTCTCATTGTTGGATAAATTATTCATTTGCATTGTCGGGTACAGATGCATGCGGTGTTTAAAATTTGGCCGGAAAAACCTTCGGCTTCGGCGTGGGTACTATGCGATAGAGAAATTAAAACCGAGTCTCTACCCATGCCTCACGCATCTCACGCATGTCACATATCTCTCTCTATATACTCTTGACGGCAGTATTTTGATCATGTTCTCAGGTCCTCAACCCTTATTTCCTAATCCTAACCTACCCCTTAACCCTGGCGTTGAGGGCGGCGACGTTGAATAGAGGATGTAGCTGTGCCATTATCTGTGGGCGTATGTGCATGAGTGTCCAGTTAAGACTGGTATTTTAGATGGAGTGAATGTAACCGCTTACTTGTCTTGGGCTGGCACTGCACCCTTTGCCTTGATAGTTCATGTGAACATAATGTGTGAGGGCGAACCTTTTTCAACATAATTTGAGCCCTCATACATGAGGCCGGGCCGCAAGGAATACGGCGGTCTGTCTTGCTATTATTAATCTAAATACATTTGCATGCCGCATCTCAGAACGCCCCCCCATTCAAGTAAACTATATCCTACACATCTTCCTGTTCCTCAGTCCTCTATGCTTTACATCATCCTACACTGCTCATATCATCTATCAACAGTCCCATCATATCCGTCTTCGGACAGCAATCGCCCTAGCTCCCGCCCCATCCTCCCAGTCCTTCCCTTGCAACTTTTCATCATCCACATCACACCTCCAAACCTCCACCCCCCCCTCCCCTTCTACCCCCCCGTAATAAATCACCCTTGCCATCTCCCCAACTCTCCCCGCCTGCCCCTTATCCCCACACTCAAGCACAACAAGATCAGCATCCACCCACTCCGCGCAACCGAGCGCGAGGATGCGAGGGTAGAATGCATCCTCCTGTCTCGCGGCGATGACGGCGTTTTGTATTTCTTCTTGCCTGGACGTAGTGGCAGAAGTGGTGGCATTGATGTTTAAAGAAGACGAATCACCAACGCTAACGCATCTTGTAACGTCGGCGTTTACTCTAGTAGGAGGCGGCACGAGGGCTAATTTCGGCTCGTACATGCGCACGCTGCGGGATGTAGTCCCGTTTCTGAACTGGGAGGGGGAGATGTAGGGCGGGTTGGAGAGGAGGATTGTTACTGTCTTTGTCTCTGTGTCTGTGTCTGTGGCTGCGTCTAGGCGAGGCGCAGGCCTTTGTTGCTTTGAAGCCGCCCCACTGCCATTATCGAACGGCTGCGCTGAACTGATGTCCCTTTTCCTGTGACTGGGAGCAGCCGCGGCGAAATCCAGAAGCATCCCTTCCATTTCCACCTCCCTTCCGCGAATCCCATGGGACGCCCGCGAGCTACCATCAGCTCCAAGATCCGAAAGCACATCCCCCCATATAAAAGAGACCTCCTTTCTCGCCCTCTCATTCAACACTCCGAGCTTGACGTTATGTTCGAGATTCTCCCGAGCCAGCTCCAGAGCGCGGGCGCTGATGTCTACGCCGCATATCTGCAGCTGTGGAAATGCAGGGGCGAGCAGCGAGTGGAGGAGGAGCGGGATGCAGCCGGTGCCAGTGCAGAGGTCGAGGATGCGGAGTGCTGGCGGGTGCTCCTGTGATTCGGATTTGAATTTGAACTTGGAAAGAAGCAGGTTTGCTGTGCGCGTTGTGTACGATTCTGTTTCTGGTCTGGATTTATTTTATTGACAATGGGAGTTAAAAACATTGAGAATGGGTTAGCGGAGATGTATTTAAAATGACTGGTTTATCTACCGGCTGCTATACTTGAAAATATAAACGGATGCTTTCACGGAGGGAAAGACATCACACACCGAGGAATCAACACACCCCTCCGACATAGGATCTCCAACTCGCCAAACGGCTGGTCACCCAAGATATACTGCAGCGGTACCCCCCGTGCTCTCTGCCGTACCATTTCTCGAAGCCTCCGCCGCACACACGCATTCACATTGCTATTGCCATTGCCGTTACTATTGAGCCTCCCAGGCGTCATCACGGATCTTTCCTCTCTGTGAAGATCCCCCCGGTCATCGCGCCCTCCATTTCGTTTCCGACGGCACTCGGCGAGCGCGTGCTCGCCCAACCACCTTAGCTCATTCTGGGCAGAGGGTAGGTCTCTGCATTCGCGGAGGAGGGGGGGGAGGAGGGGATGTAGGCTATATACATGGCGGAGCAGAGGGGGAGGGAGACGGGGCATTTATCAAAATACACGATCCATATATAAATATATATATATATATATATATGTAGAGTTATGTATAGTTACGTCTGTCTGTTGCGGGGAAGACGAAGGTTTGGTTGGTATCGATGGTCTCCGGTGTTATAGTCCCTGGTGGCGACAGCACGAATACCTGACAGGCATCGGTGGTCCAATGGTTAAGATTCGACATTCCCATGTACCCACCCACTGCGGAAACATCGTCATGTCACGACATGTCGAGACCCGGGTTCGATTCCCGGCCGATGCAGCTTTGTTTTTATTTTAGTTTTTATTTTATTTTAGTTTTTATTTTATTTTTATTTTAATCTATATTGCTTTGATAGATAGAGGAGCGGTTGGTAGTGAATTCGGGCTTGATTCATTTCTATTTTTCATTCCTCAAGTCGAATAGAGGTGTTCAACCAGGGCAACAAGCCACAGAGCAACGAGAAAAGATACCAACGAGCCACACCCAAACCCCTACTAACTATATATTATACATATACCCGTATTAAATAGAATTTTGATTAACATACCAACTAAAGCTAGTATTTTCATTTTGTTGCCTGTTAGTTGTGCGTTGGAAAAACCACATACTGCCGGTGGGATGGCAGGAGGAGTATATTTATATCAAGGCACCAGCAGCACGGCAATATATAAAGGAGAAGAATGCCCCGACCAAGCAGGTTTGGAGAATTTCTTCCGCGCGAAATCTGGCAGCAGTGCTCACATCGATGATCAGATCCACTTGTCCAAAGGCTCCAGTTCCAAGTTGCTCCTCGAATATAGACACGGGTTTCTGCGCCAGAGTTAATGCCTGACTGCCTGAGAATCCATGAGAAGTTTCGTCAAATCTCCTCTTCTGCTTGACCGTTGTAGCTGACCGCGGTACCAAAAGAGGAGACGTCTCCGTACAAGGCCTTTCTTCTCGTGATACAAAAAATGGATTTGCTATTAACGATGACATGAGGATGACACACTGCTCCACCAAAACTGTGTGATGAACAGAGCAAGTATGAGGACTGGATAGAGTATCGGGACTATCATCATCAGCTCGTCGAAGATGTAGAGAAATGCCTTCCCGACGGGTAACAACAGCTGGTCATAGCACGAGAGGAAGTAAAGAATGCGGGATTTGTGGAAAGATGAATGAGCGCATCATGGACGGGGTTGTATTGGCTTTCATGCGAATTGATGAGGAAGCAAAGATAAAGAAAGAGATCAGGTCCAAGGAGGAGAAGCAGTTGAAATTGGCTGAAGAAATACTGCAAACAATTGAATCAGAAGATCGTTTGAGAGACTCAACAATCGTAAAGGATTGGATCAGGCTCGCACAGGAATGAGCCGAAACTGGGCAAAGGCAGCGGCAATACAGCTGGTTCAATAGCAAGGAGGGAAGTTGAACTTCTGAGGGGGGCCCCAGACATTCGAGAAAAAGCAGCATCGATGAATGGGGGCTTTGAGGCAAGCAAAGGCGAATCTAGCTGTGGCTGAGTCGAATGATCTCGGTGATGGGATAATCCTCCGCTATTCCTTGATAAGCAAGATGAAAGACGAGATCTTATCAGCAGAGAAACAGCTGGAAGAGCCAACGCGAATGAAAGAAGAACTTATCATGGGATAAAAAAAAGTGCCCAGGCGGCTATCTATAACTGCTAAAGGACACCAAGAGAGAAATCGAAGAGTACAGGCCCATTCTGGACTGGATCGAGCAACAGCGTCAAAATATGCTCTCTGAGGATTCCACAACGCAAGTTGACGGGAATGGACAATCCAGAGGTCCCACAGTGAGTATCTCATCGGAAGCCATAAGGCCGGAAAGGTCCACGAGAAATCATCATAGAAGACAAGGAAAGGCACATTCGGTTCTTCGACCGATCAGAGCGACTATATCAGAGATAAGAAGCCCTGTTTCATTTTCAAGCGCTAAGGTGGAAATGCACAGAAGTCAGCGAAATATTGATTTTTTAGCAGCCAAACGGAATCAGCATACGGAAACTGTGGGAAACCTGAAACTATCGACATTGGAATCCAAGCCTCGACGAATGTCAATGCTGATCAATGAAAGATCCAAAGGTGCCTCCACAGCCAAGTCCGCATGGGATTAAAGAGACCCGAAGCACCAGAAAGAATAACCTCTCTCGAAATGGCTGAGAAGCGATGCAACCTGATGGGAGTATGATCAATGCATTCAAGGCTTATGTTTCTGAGATATCTCTTGCTGAAATGCAGGGATTCTTCTGCCTGATCTCTTCTTTCTTCTGCCTGTTCTTCACTTCCCTCTACCGACGCGTTCCAGACTAAGTCCGACCCAGCCTAGTCGATGCTCTGCAGTGTGATCTGTCCTTTGCTAGACCTGGCGCGTTTGACAATAATTCAAGTTAGCTACAGTCGGGTGATCCAGCCGGTCAGTTACAAGCTCAGCCTGATGTTCGGAGCATCAAACCTGGGGTTCAACCCATGGTTCTTCAGTGCTACAGTGCTAGATCGGGATTTATTTCTGCTTCACACGCTCCATAACACCCGTCTTAGTCGGCTTGCTTTCACGATGTGATTTTGGCAATCGTAACTGTGTATCTCTTCTTCAACTGCACGCACAGTCGCTCTCTGACACTCTCAGATATGCTCAAATTGACTGTCTGTAATCGTGAGTGGCTCTCGTGGAGCAACGACGAGATATCTGGACCATGGCGGGAATAGTTAACTAGCGTCCGAGCATGACGATGTGAAAACAGATTACCTTTAGACCCAGATTCAAGGGAGCATGCCGTCCGTCGGCTCTGGCGATATATATCGCAAAGGTCGCCACCCGACTCGACTCGACGCGGGCGTGGGCGTGGGCGTGAACAATGTCTAGTCCCATTGGATAGGGGGAGAATCTGAGCGGGAATTTTTTTTTTTTTTTTTTTTAAACGGTGTGCGACACCCGCGGTTCAAAAGACTTTGTTTTAGGACGAAGCAAAATTCCGAACCTCTTCTTGAAGACTTGGGCTCATATTTTTTTTAGAAATCAGCAACTTGCATGTGTTCAAACTCTTCCAACAGACTAAAATTGAATGTTTGCATTCCAGCAGAACAGCCCGTCACTCTTGCGGCTTAAAAGAAGTTTTATTTCACTTTCGATTCTCGAATTCACATCTTAGACACGTGAATAGCTGAGTTATCCTGAGTCTCAGCAAGGCTGGTAACGAGTGGTCGTCTCAAACAACCGTTGCAATGGAGAACCGGGGCCTCCAGATGCCTATCACAGGAGGGGGGGAGCTCATTCGAGGAGCCTGTGGTCGGGTCCTCTTTCGTTGCCTCGCGCGCCGTTTTCCGATGACAACGATGGTTGCCTTGATGCAGATTAGGCGTTATTGCTCCACTTATCCTTTGAACACAAGATTGAAAACTATACTCGCCGGGTGTGTTGACCCACACATCTTCCACATTATTCGTCCTTGCCATGGCGGGCTGAGTCGAGTGACAAGCTTTATAACCTGCAGCGCCGAAGCCGCTGTGGGGGCCTGCTCCTCCTTGAGCCTGAAACTCAAAGGTAATATAGGTTTAAAATACCGCAATGCTCGGACAAGTCAACAGAAAGCAGCTTGTAGGAAGCGTGTGAAAGCAGATAACCACTGCAGTATTAACTTGATAGTTCAGCAGTCAGCAGTGGTCAACAAAGTTAGTTGAACTACGGAATTCAAGTTGGTTGAAAGACATTTTTTTTTTTCTCGCCACCTGAGAACATGACAATTTTTACTCCCTGATTGAGTCCTGGGATATGCTGAACGAAATCGCCAGCCTTGACAAGCGACTGTTCGATCCAGGCAACAGTCGCGCCTGAGTCTGACATTCTTGTTTGTGTGCGCTGAGAGATGGCCTTATCGAAGTTGAACACAGGTATTTCACATATCATCAGCTTAGCAGCTAACGTAGGTAACTAGTTCCCGACTCCTTCGCCTCTCATAAACTTCTACGTAACTACGTTACGTTACTATGCTCGATGATGACAAGCTGGTCTGCAGAAGATTTATTACTTTTACCACAAGGCTTCGTTACGAAACGAATGCGCCCTTGCTGTCGACGGAGAGGCTTTTGTCGCACTCTACAGGCGGGCGAGTCGTATAACTACGGGGTTCCTTCTAATTAATCGCTGATTGGGGCCTGGACGAAGTGGATGTCAATGTTTGAATACATGTCTCGATCACGAAGAGATTTGCTCTGTTGTGTCCGTCACTGAGAGACGATGCCGGCATTCTTTATTATCAAGGTTAGTTGGTTGTCAGCGGTCAAGGATAAACCTCCTCTCAATGCGCCTTTTTTTTTTTTTTTTTTTTTTTTTTTTTTCTTCTTCGTAGCATCAGCGTCAGCGGCGGGGATGGGGACGGGGCGGGCCATCCACCTCTGCAATGGTGTATCATCATCGATGATAATGACGACGTCGTCGCGGAGGGGAGGGTTCATTCGGGAAAAAGCCAGAACCAGCTGAAAAGCCATGGTTGCTACTGGTTTTTCAGGTCAATGTCTTCGGGTTGATGGAGCTGTCAAGCAAATAACAATTGTGAAGGTAGTTAGTTACATTTACCCAAGCGTCCGAATCGTTTCACGCAAAACCTCCCAGAAACCTTTTTCATATGAGCAGAAAAGGCTGTTTAAGACGGCATTTCAGACCCCTAATCAAAACGATCTGCTATTAAACTCAGTTCTGTTAACTAGCTAGCTAATAGTGCAGAACCAGATCAATGTCAAATGCAGGATACGCAGATCCAAGGGTCCATGGCCCGTGTTCATGAAATGTTAATTTATTAGGAAATAGTTACGGGACCTGGAAACGGCGTGACGAATTACAGCCTCTGCCGATGCGACGATGTCTCCACAGCGATCGACCCACCCAACAGCCCACCAAGACCATCCATTCCACTATGTACCCGGCGGCACCTTCGGCTATCCTCCCATTCTCCCATTGGCTGAGAGGGAGGCGGGAGACGGATATAAACCTGGCCAACCCGCCGACATGTGAGTTTGCTGCAACAGTTGAACGGAAACCTACAACTTCAACCATAAGAACGCAGGTAATGTGACAGCAAAAAGATCTTGGTCCCTGGTTTCGCAGTTGTTCTGGAAGGAGTTTATGACCGCAGAACTCCAAAAAAAAAAAAAAAAAAAAAAACATGCCACAAACTCAAAAGAAGTGTCACCAGCGTTATCAGCGGGGGTCCCGATCCCCCGAAGGTCCTTGTACCAGCTATTACAGGATCAGATAACGACGGGCTCAGCGCGTTCGCGTGGAAACTATGATGTCAGCTGGGGAGCGATCTGCTTCGTCTTGGAAGCTACTCAACGTGACGCTTTGCTTTTGAACTATCGTTAGGGAAGCAGATCATCGCCTTCAAAGGGGCGCGAGAAGAGAGCCCGTGTCGTGTGTCTGCAGGCAGAAGAATGCGTGCCGAATGTCGAGCACCTACTGAAGATGAGAGAACTGAGATGTAGAGAGTTCGTTCATGCCTCTTGAAATCTGATGGTGCTGTAAGGATCTGAGACAAGAAACGCTAAAGGTCAAGGGCTCCACATTTGAGCATTTTGGTTATGCTGACAACGGTCGCAACCCTAAAGTCCTCCAGGGTAACACCATTGAGGCCTGATTCTTTCTGGAAGAGTCTGGCAGGAAAGGAAAGAAAGGAAAAAGAAAATGAAGGCTGATGGATAATACTTCGGAAATGTTGAACGTCATTCATATGGCTCCCGTCAGCATCAATGCCGTTAAACTTCTGCGAACCCAGAACCGGCTCGCGGAATTGATTCATCTTGATTTGCTAATTCCATTGGGCTCGCAGTCCTCTTGTTCGCGAGTTCGATGTCGCATTAGTCAGGCCATGGCTTAAGTCGCCGTCGTTTAACTAATGACTCAAAGCAGCGCTTGTCGCTGGTCTCCGGGAATCAATCTACGTGACGAATAAGCCATGCAGGATGCAGATATATGCTTGATGTCTTTTCCTCGTAGAATGCATACGTGCGTACGGACTAACAGATATATTAACTGAATATATATGGGTATTGTCTCATTTCCCAAGAAGTTCACAAATCACCTGCAAAGCGCAGCATGATCTCTCTATGCCCAACCTAAATGAACGCTTCATTCGTAAGGAACACCTCCCAAAAGCCGACCTGTCTCCCGGCATCTAAGCGGGAGGAGACAAAAGGAGCATTAAAAAAGAAGAAAGTAAAACAATGTATGAAAAGAAAGGGAGGGGGTAAAATAGAAAAGAAAATGAAGCCTCACGGCCGTTCCCACCGCTTCCAAAACTTCCACCAACCCACTCCCTCCATCTCCCTCACCCCCTTACACCAGCTCTTGCCATCTCTCTTCCCGATCATCCAAAAGTAAACTGGCACACCCACCGCATTAAAGCCAAGCACAAGAAGCGTCTTCAACGGCTCCGCAAACACCGCCCGACTAAGCAAAAACAAGCTGACGCAACAGAAGATAATCGGCGTCGTAATCCACGTCTTGTACGGCCGTTCCAAATACGGCTCCCGGATCCGCAGGACAATAAGCCCCAGCACAGTCAGGAAATAGAACGTATACCCGGCCACGCCGTAGAAGGTCACCAGCGTGCCGAATTCGCCCACGATGATGTACAGGATTATCAGCGCGCTGTTGAAAAGCAGGGCGTTGATGGGTGTGTAGGCGATGCCGATGTCGTCGCCGAACAGGCGGATGAGCGCCTTGTGGAACCAGGAGCGATGGCGCAGACGGCTGCTGCCGCCGCTGATATCCGCTGACGTGCTTGCGGAGCCCGCTATGCCGATGTTCCCAAAGAGGGAGGGCAGGTACCCTTCGCGCCCAGCGGCGTAGACGAGTCTCCCGGCCGTGAAAGTCGTCGCGTTCAGAGCGCCAAAGCAGCTGGCGGAGACGACGAGGGCGAAGACGAGGGCGCCGATGGGGCCAAAGACCTTGCCGCCGAATTGGACGGCGACGGTGTTTGTGGCGTTGAGGGTGGTGGAGGGAAGGACGAAGAAGTATGCGACATTCGCGAGCATGTAGCTTAGGATCACGGCCAGCATGGAGGTGTGGACTACACGGGGCAGGTCGCGGCTGGGGTTTTTGAACTCGCCGGTCACATAGTTTGTCTGGTAGTTTTGAGAAAGAAAAAAAAAAAAAAAGTTTTGCGCTGCTGGTTAGCCACAATGCGAGGGTTGTTGATATAAAAAAAAAAAAAAAAAAAAAAAAAAAAAAAAAAAAAAGAGAGAGAGAGAGAGATTTTGTAAACAGGAGTGGAAACTATACATACGTTATCCCAGCCGTCAAACGCCCACAGGCCCGCATAGAGAGCTACAGCCCAGCTTGAGACGTCGGTGCTGGTGCCCTCGAACCAGCTGGTGGTCAGCCATTTCCGGTCAGCCTCATCGTTATACGACAGGCCCGTAGCAGCAACGACGATGGCAATAACAGTGACACCCAGCAGCGCCAGAAACTTGAAAAACATAAACATATCGCCGATGCGGGTAGCCAGGCGCGTGGATATGCAGTTCACGGCCGTGACAACCAGAAGCCCCAGAAGAGCCACGCCTTTGTTAATCCAGGGGTTAACCGTCTCGACGTCGGCCCCTACGACCGCACGGACGACATATTCGCCGAATATGATCGAGATGATGGCGGCAGAACCTGGCTTTAGGACAAACACCGCTGACCACGTAAACAGGAACCCCGCCAGCTCCCCAAATATCTTGGAGAGGTACACCTGCGCACCGCCGTTCAGCGGTATCGCGCCGCCCAGCTCTACATAGCTCGCCGCGCCAGTCCAGGCCAGCACACCCGCGACGGCCCACACGATGAGCGAGGCACCGGGTGATCCGGCGTTCGAGTTGACCTGGCCCGGCGACGAGAAGACGCCGGATCCGATGATCAGGCCGATGATCAATGACAGGCCGTTGAGATACGAGAGGGTCTTGTGCCGTTCCAGCAAGCTGTCGGCAGCCGCATGGTGTCTGTCCAGCGAGAACACGGAGGAGGGTGCGCCGAGCGGTGTATACCCGCTGACGGTCTGGGAGAGCGGGAAGAGGGTACTGCCGAAGTCGAAGGCGGAGGAGACGGAGTAGGAGCGGGCGTTGCGCGAGCGGGGGGTGGAGGAGGCGGCATCGCGGAGAGGGGTCGAGGAGAGGGGGTCCTGGAGATCGACAGAGGCCTTACGCGAGGAGGAGATGCCCGAGGGACTGGAGCTGCCGGATTGGCGTTGCCGATGGTGGTGTGCGTCGGAATCCGAGGAGGCGGCGAGAGAGGCGAGTTCGAGAGAGTCGCGGGATGGATCGCCAGTTAGCCGTTGCGGATCTTTGAAGGAGACAGTCATGCCTCTCTACCCTTGCGGAGGGTTGCTTGCCGGTCTAGCGTCTGGGGAGTCGAGAACCCAGGAGAGGAGGGCATAGAGAAGAGCTAGGAGAGCAGAGCATAGGAGGCCGAGGAGATGATGATCCCGGATGCCAGGTCGGGGGGCTTGGGAGCGGGGGATGGAAGAGGAGGATGAGGATGGGGGCCGGCTTGAGAGTATTTTGAACGTCAAATCATGAATCGTTGAAAAGTGCGCTGTACAATGAGCCAGTTTGGCCGTGCGTGCCGCGTTGTGTTTATGTCGAGATGTTGAGTTCGAGTTGTTAGGTTAAGTAAAGTAACTATTTATTGATTCCCGGTGGAAAGAAACGAAGGTCCAACAATGAGGTACAGTGAGATACCTTATGATCATACACTATTGTATGGAGATGCGGGTACTACTGGGTACCACTGGGTACCAGGTAAATCTGATATGATAAATATATAAATACATTTTCCAGCATCGAACCGCTCAACCATCTACGTTAAACTTCTAAACTTCGGGGCTGCAAGGAAAAATAAGAGATTACAGAGACCGTTTCCCCGCAGCGTCTGGTCAGGCAGCCGTAGTATGGATTCCAGTTGACCAACCCTGCACATTATCTCTGTACTCTTGCGCCTCTGTGTTTCTTTGTGTTGTTTACACTCCCTCTCGTGGCATATATATATATATATATATGTATCTCTTGCGTACATCCAACGGCTATTGGTTGGTCTTTCAGTTGAACATCTACTGCTCGCTTACGTATTGCTGATAAGCATAAGAAAGAGCCTGGGATTCGGGACTGATCCTTAATAAGAGTGGGAGAGTTGCTCATTTGATTCGTGCAAGAGTATTCACATAGTGCAGCAAGTTCTATTTTTGCAGAGACTTGTACTTGTACTTGTACTTGTACTTTTACTTGTACTTGTACTTGTACTTGTACTTGTACTTGTACTTTTACTTGTACTTGTACTTGTACTTTTACTTGTATTGATATTTTTAGCCACTTCTCTTGGTGGAGTTTGGGCCTTGACGCCGAAACACTCGGGCTTCGGTTAGTGGTTGCTCACTAAGTTACGGGTAAGAGCGCCCCCTAACGGCCCCTAACGGACCCTAACGGCCCCTAACGGCCCCCTGGAGGGACTGGCATCCATTGTCTTAATACTCTGCGGTGGTATATATATATATATATATTTATATCTATAGTTAGTTCCACACAGCTTCAATCTCGCCTCCTGGTTACAATGTCCCGCCTCCCTCCGCCCTGTTGTCCCGCCGCACAACTCCTCCGCCGCTCCAGACCCCCCTCTCCCGCATCCCGCTATCCTCGCCATGCCTCCACCAACACGTCTTGCCCCCGCCCCAGGCAACGGGCGTGGCTACGCATCACCCTAGTCACTGCCCTCGCCGCCGCCATTGGCGCCTACATGCGTTCCCGGCAAGACTCGTCCGCCGCCGCCGCCGCCACCACCCTGAACCCCTCCACGTTCACAGAGTACGAGCTCGTCTCCAAAACCCCCGTCTCCTCGACAAGCAGCCTCTTCACCCTACGCCCCGTGAAGAGCGGGGCCAGCAGCGCCGTGCACAGAGAGGCCTGGCAGCGGGGCCTGTGGAGCGTGCAGTTCAAACAGCCGCAGCTGCAGATCGGGAGAGATTACACTCCCTTGCCACCCACCTTTGCTCAGTCGGAGGAGTCGGAGGAGTCGGAGGAGTCGGATGGCGAAACGGCCGGCGACAGTGCCCTGCGCTTTCTGATTCGCAGAGACCCGCTCGGAGAGGTGTCCGGATATCTGCACAACCTGCCTACGGGCGCGCGAGTCGATGTCCGCGGCCCGCGGCTGGAGTATGCCCTGCCGGCTGACGTCGAGGAGATACTGTTCATTGCGGGCGGGACGGGGATTGCGCCGGGCCTTCAGGCTGCGTATGCCCTGTTTCGGGCAAACGGACGACCCGGGGGGGTCGGCCGGCGAGGATGCATATCTTGTGGGCCAATCGACGGAGGGAGGATTGTCTGGGTGGCGTCGGCGATAGCAGTTCTGCCCGGTCAGCTCCTGGGTCGTCGAGCCCGTGGTGGAGGCGGATTTTCAGCAGCAGCAGCAGCAGCAGCAGTAGGCCTGTCGCCGCCGAAGATGCTGTGCCTGGGGGACGGGACCATGCAGAGAGCAGCAGTGCCAGGGAAAACATTACGGTGCGACATCTAGAAGAGCTCAAGGCGAAGCACCCTGGCCTGCTTACGGTGGATTACTTCGTGGATGAAGAGGGGTCTTGGATTGGCAAGGAGTCGATCTTGGATGTTACAAATGCGGGAAAAGTTGCTGAAGAAGCCTCGCGGACGGAAACGAGTGCTCCGCGGGGGAAGCGCGTCATCCTCATATCCGGCCCCGACGGGTTTATAAGCTACCTGGCTGGTCCGAAGGTGTGGAGCGGCGGACAAGAGTTGCAGGGCCCGCTGCGGGGTATTATACGCCAGCTGGACCTGAAGGATTGGTCTGTATGGAAGCTGTGAGAATAGCCAGCAGAGAGAGGAGAGAGGAGAGAGGAGAGAGGAGAGAGGAGAGAGTCTTGGGGATTTCGACTCTCGGAACCTCTTTCTCTATTTCTATTTCTGTCTTCGTATCTAGTTGCTTGTCGCATAGCATTGGGTCTGGTTGAATCTTCCTCCAAGATCTGCCACTATCTTCATTTTTAATTCCCAATGCGTTGTGCATCTAACATGGCTTCTGTTATGTTAAAGGGAAAAAAAAAAAAAAAAAAAAAAAACCCCTATAATCCTATCTCAAGCGGGCGTATTCCCACTCTTTCAGCCACCCTGTCAGCCACCTAGTCTGAACACACACATCCCTCACCCCCGCCCATTCGCATAATCCTCCAGATAACGCACCAACTTCTCCACATTCTCAACGGGCACCGCATTGTAATTGCTAATCCGTATCCCACCCACGCTCCGATGCCCCTTCAACCCCTGGAGCAGCTTCCTCTCCGCCCCAGCCAGAAACCCCTTCTCCTTCTCCGCATCACCGCCAGAGACACGGAAGCAAATATTCATCCGACTTCGCACGTTCCGCTGCGGCACGATACCATATATCTGCGGGTATTTATCCAGCGCTCCGTACAAGAGCGCCGCCTTGTGGTTCGCAACCTCCTCCTGTCCGCCCACTTTCTGGTCTCCATACGTCTTTACCAGATGGGCCATGACCTCGCCGGCGATCCAGAGGTTGAAGATGGGCAGGGTGTTATAGAGGGAGTTGTTCTTGGCGATGGCGCCGTAGTCCAGCACTGTGGGGCCGGGCAGGCTGCCGACTTCGAGTCTGCGGAGGAGGTCTGGGGATGGGGTTGCCGTTTGGGGGGGGAGGAGGGACTTGCGGATGATGACAAGCGTGATTCCGGCGATGCCCACGTTCTTCTGGGCTCCGGCCTGTAGGTATTATGGATTTGATAGATTAGCGTATGTGATGTAGTGAGCCTAGATAAAGCAATGGTTAGTGTGACACTCACGAAGATCACCGCAAACTTCCGCACGTCAATCGTCCTGCTTAGGAAGTTCGAACTCATGTCCGCGACAACAAGCCTCTCATCCTCCTCCCCGTCCCGCGCTTCCAGCACCGCCGGAAACCCAGGAAACTCAACCCCATCCACCGTCTCATTGTCGCAATAGTAGACAAAAGCCGGCGCGCTGCCCTTCCCGCCCTCCCTCCTCGTCTTCGTGAGCCTCCACTCCTTCTCGTCCGGAATAGTCCCGAACTTCCCGCCGTTCTCCTGCCTCGCATCAGCCGCCACATTGACAAACCGCTCCCCACACAATCTCTTCGCCTCCTGCATGGCCTTCAGCGACCACGAGCCCGTAACCAGATAATCCATCTTAAGGTCCTCCCGCACCATCCTCTTCAGCTCCCTCTCCACCTCCGCCTCATCCACATCCTTCCCCTCAGCGGCAGCAGCAGCGGCAGCAGCAGCAGCAATCCCCCTCCTCTTCCTCTCGACCCACACACCCACTAAGTGATACACAACGGCACTAAACTGCCCACACCCGCCTCCCTGCATGAACAAGATCTCATACTCGTCCTCAGGAATGTCAAGCAGCGTTATTAGATTCGCCTTGGTGTCCGCGAGGATTTGGTTAGCCGTGGGAGAGCGGTGGGAGATTTCGGCCAGTCCCAGCCCGCTGTCCCGGTAGTTTGTCAGGACTGCTGCGGCGGACTCGATGACGGGGGTGGGGAGCGGGGCGGGGCCGGCGCCGAAGTACGAGACGGAGCTGCGGGGTGGCATGGTTTGTTGTGTATCTGTGTATCTTTCTCTTCCTATCTTTTTTTCTCCTTTCTTCTTTTTCTATATTGCTGTATCTATATGCTTTTGTTTCGTCTTTCTTGAGCGGTTGTTGAGGGGGCTGCAGAGATGTAGATATATAGGGTGGTCAATGGCGGATTCTAGTGCGAGAGTGGTTCCTCCTGCTGCTATGAAGGTCCTCTTTCCCTACGGCTATGAAGGTCCCCAATATATCAACCTGTCTTTTAGACTGGCTGGGTGGTATCGATGGTGACCTCTGGTCTCGAAAAGATACCAATGTCGAGAGCGGGTGGAGCTTTTTCTAAGGTTTATGAATTGGTTCTGTTGGGCGGGGTTCCACCTATTTAGTAACTATTAACTATATGAAATGATCTTAATGAACTCAAAGTGTTCTTCTGCTAGAAGTCACCAAAGCCAGCTGCATTGAGGCACACATTGGCAGCTGAAGACTGAAGACTGAGGATGGAATTGTATTTGATGTGTATGGGAAGCAGACTGTATACCTCAAAACTTTGTACAACTGTTCTGTTTCTTCCTCCATCGGATTTTTGTCGAACTTGTTTTGAACCAAACTGCCATAGTCACGTGCCAACTACATGTTTGCTTCGATTAACTAGTTAGTTAATGCATGATGACAACATTTTTCGCCGCGATGAGCCAAAACAACAGCAACATTGCTATCACCAAGGCTCCTCTTCACTCTAAAAAGAAGAGAGCCCGCGCAATCTCCTCTGCTCCGCTAAAACCCCCGGATGACCCCCCCCAGCCCCAAAACACCATGTCCCAGGACGTGTCGGACACTACAACAGCCACCACAGCTCAACTACATCAAATCAATATCAACTTCAATCCCCGCCCGGCCCTCTCACCAGGAGGAGAATCCATCAAGAATGTGACTGACTGCACTCAAGCAGTCCTGCTAACCATGAAGAACTCCTCTTCCACAGTGAATTATAAGCTCAATGCTCTGCTGAGTCATGCCAACAACTCCTCCTCTGCAGAGCTAGCTGCAGTGCTTGAGCTATGCAATAAGCTATCTGCAGTACTGGACCTGATACTCTGCACTTATGAGAACTCTCTACCACGCCAGACTGCTGTACTAAGGCAAGCCATGGGACATGGCATAGCCAAAGCCATTAAAGGCCTCACCACTGAATCAAAGCCTACATTGATGTATGCTACTGCCGTGACAGCTAAGGCAATCCCCTCAAACAATCCCCTCCAGGCTGTTCCAGCAACAGGACAACCTCACAAGAAGCAGGTACAGCAGGCCAACCGCCCCCTGCACCAAGGACAGGAAGACAAACAAGTCATGATTAAGCTACCTGCAGCACATGCTGCTCATGACCTAGACCCCCAAGCTATTTGTGAACAAGTACGCGCCATGATCCCTGATCCAACCTGGATCACTGATGTATGGCACTGCCCATCAGGAATCACTGTGGCTGCCCCCTCCCCAGTGAAGGCAGCCTTCATTCTTGAACATGCAGATAAGCTGAAAGCTGCTGTAGGTGACTGTCTTATTGAGCAACAGAAATTCTGGACCATCTTTGTAGTCAGTCCAATCAAGAAGTTGACACACAGCTTCAAAGGACAGAATATCACTCTGATTCCAGTGTCAGAAGAGATGCTTCTTTCTGAGATTTGAGGTGCTGCCCACCAGGCTCCAATCATCTGTTGTCACTGGACAAAGAAGTCCATGGACCCCAATCTGCATGAAGGGTACACCTGGGTTGGAGTATGAACCTCTGGAGCACATCTCTTTCCAAACAAACTCCACCTTTTCAGTCGCCCGGTGATGGTTAACAAAATCAAGAAATTGTCAAAGATCTCAATTTGCACAAGATGTCATGGCTTCCACACAGAAAGAAACTGTGTGTGATCTCTATGTTGTGAGAAGTGCAGCAGTCCTGCACACTCAGATGAATGTCAAACACCAGCTCACTGCTGCAACTGCCTTGGCCCCCATTCCACTCTCAGCACTGACTGTCCAGCAAGGCCCAAAATAGTCTCTGGACATATAGAACACATCTCCTGCTGTCAGCTACACTCAATACACAAAGCTGGCAGAAGAGCATTCATCTCAGCTCATCAAACTTCAGTGGAGAAGAGCAATCCAGAGCTAAACTCTAGAGACTCCACCTCATCCCCTCTCTCAGCTCCGCTGACACCAGTCACTAGCTCCCAGAGCAATCAGACAGACTCAATGATCTGCTCTCAAACAGGCACCAAGATCACATCAAGTCTGAACCTTCACTAATGAAGAGCAGTCACAGCCCTCCTCACAAATCTACACTCACTGTATATCAAGCCAATGTAGGAAGACAGTCAAGCTCTCACAACATCACTCTCTCACTAGCAGACAAAAGAGCCTGCAACATTGTGGCCATTCAGGAACTCTGAATAGCTACAGACCTCTCCACCCACCTCTTCAAAAGCCATCCCTCATACAAACACTTCACCCTGCTCTCCTTCAACTGGACCAAGAGGCCCAGAGTACTGCTCTATGTCAGAAATGGAAGGGCCCTTGCACCAACTCAATCTATAGCAGATATCTCAAGGGATGTTGTCTGTGTCTCAGTTAAGATCTCTAACTCCAAAAGGACTAATATCTACAACATATACAACACCCCATCTGGTGCCACAGATGCAGGTCAAGGCCTTCAAGACCTCCTCTCTCTTACACACATCACAGAGACCATCCCCTGGATGGCATTAGGAGACTTTAATATTAGACACACAGCATGGGACTCTACAACTAATAGACATTCTCAAGCAGGAGAGAATCTGTATAACTGAGCAATCTCTCTTGAACTCCAGCTTCTCAACCCAGCTGAATCCCCTACACATAGACAAGGAGGCACACTTGATCTTGTCTTCTGTGCTGCCAACTCAGCTATCTGTCATATTGCTCCTGAACTGCACTGCATCTCAGATCATGAAACTCTTATCACAACAGTTTAATTATCACAGACTCAGACTCAATTGATTAAGGAGAAGAAGCTTAGCCTCACAATCTGTGATGCTGATTGCTTCTTGCAACTACTCACTCTCTTCTCCTCACTGGTCTATGAGAACATGAATGAGAAAGCAGTGGACATTGTGAAATCTCTTCAACTGGCTCTACAAGGCTTCTGCTCTCTCACCCCAGGACTCAAGAGTCATCATGCCCCATGGTGGACCCCAGCAGTCAAGATAGTCAGAAGAGTATATCATGCAGCATGTAGACACAGCCCTTGTCAATCAGAACAAGTGGCATTCCAGGCAGAAATTAGAAAAGCTAAGAGAGCATGGAATCACCAGCAAATTAAGAAGGCTTCCTTCTTATCAGATGTCTACAAGATTGTCAAATGGCATAAATACCAACCTCAAGACCCCACTCCTTCTTTATGACATCCCAATGGACACCTAGAACAATCTTGTGCTGGCAAATCTTCTCTACTGCATGAGACACTTCTGGCCAGACATCTTGACATGGAAGATATCCCAGAGCATACATCAACAATTCCTTGCAGAGAGATACCCTGGATGCCTCTTACAGAGCAGGAAGTCTACAGAGCCACCTGCCAGACACTTAGCACATCTCCTGGCCTGGATGGCATTACAGCCAAGGTTCTTCAAAAGGCATGGCCAGTGATAGGCAATTGAATTGTTCTACTCTTTCAACACTGTATAGATCAAGGAATCCACCCCCAGAGCTTCAAGAAGGCTGAGGTGGTGATTATTTCAAAGTCAGGGAAAAGAGATTACTCTCTACCAAAGTCTTACCACTCAATCACACTGCTATTCTGCCTCAGCAAAGGGCTGGAGCATCTGATAGCTAGATGAATGTCTCATCTCACTCTCCATCATCACATTCTAGCAGAAGATCAGTGTAGTGCTGTTCAACAGAGGTCTGCAGTAGACCTCACCACTGCACTAGCCTGTGATGTACAAGGGGCATGGGACAAACACCTTCTGGCCAGCATGATCACCCTAGATGTCAAAGAGGCCTTCAACAGAGTCCTTCAAGACTGGCTTCTAAGATGTCTACAGGAACAGAGCTGACTGGCAGTTCTGATAAAGTGGGTAGCATCTTTCCTCAATCAATGACTAGCTTTGATTCAACTAGACAGCATTCAATCAAAGGTGTTTCAGATTCTCTGTGACCTTTCACAGGGATCCCCCATCTCATCAATTCTCTTTCTGCTCTATGTAGAACCTCTCCTCCAGCTTATCAAAGGCCAGTTTGAGTACGCAGATGACATTGCAATCCTGGAGACTGGAAGCTCTCTTGAGTGGGTAGGAAGTCAGCTTCAGAATTCTCTCAATCACATCCTGGAATGAGGTATTGACAATGGAATCTCATTTGACCCAGCCAAGACAGAGCTTCAATACTTTCATAAAAAGATCAAGTACTCAGAGCCCTTCATCTCCTTTAATGAACAGACAATTTCCCTCAATAACTACACCAGATGGCTAGGGGTTTTCTTTGACAGAAAGTTACTCTTCAGAGAACATATTCACCTTGTGTGCACTTGAGCCAGAATTGTTACAGAACATGTTAAATCACTAAATGAAGCCTCATTCAGAAATCAAACACATTTGCTCAGACAAGCAACTCAAAGCTGTGCCTTCAGCACTCTGTTTTATGAAGCTGAGACCTGGTTCTTGAAGCAAACCTCTCAGACAGCCATTGACAAGATTCAGATAGCCTTCAACAACACTGCTTGAGCCATTCTACCTGTCTTTGCCACAACACCTACCCCTGTTCTCCTATGTGAATCAAGCTGGGGCCCAGCCAAAGCCTGGCTAGAAAGAATACATGACTGACTAGCTGTTCACGTAGCTGCAGCTGACCTGTCACATCCCCTACACCGAAGATGGTACACCTCATGTTTTAAATGGATTAGATGAAACATTAAAACAACAGCCATCACACCCAGCTCAGGGTCCTTGCCTCCTTGGGACAATCCTGGCATATCAAATAGAGAGCAAAAGGC